GAGATCAAGGAGAATTAGAGGAAAAAGAAAAAAGAAGAGCGGAGATGGAAAACGACATATATTTCAAGAGAATAGACGGAAGGGAACTATATTTGGTGACACAAACATTGGCAGAGAAGATTATAAAGAAATTGCATGAAGACAATGGACATATCGGCAGCAGAAAAGTTTGGCTGGTGTTTCGAGAAAATTATATTTGCCGACAGGATTACCGCATTACAAAGGAGATTACACAAAAGTGCCCGATCTGTCAAAAATATAAAATTAGGAATTTCAAGAATGAAAACGTTACGAAAAATATTATATCCCGGAACAAATTAGATATTGTAGCAATAGATATATTAAGCGATCTAATTATGACAACGAAGAGGAATAAACATGTTTTAGTCATGATAGATGTATTTTCAAAATATGTAAAATTATACAGTTGCCGGACCACGAAAGGCGAAGAAATAATGAGAAACATCGACAATTTTATAGCCACCGTAGGAACACCAAGAAGGATTCTTCTAGACAATGCAACATACTTCAGGAATGATCGTTTCAAGGGACAACTTCGAGAACGGGGAATAGAGACAAATTTTGTTAGCATCAGACATCCTCAGAGTAATCCTTCGGAACGATGTATACAGGAAGTGACGAAATTTCTTCGAATTACAACAGATGGTCAACATCGACGATGGGATCGGAAAGTGTCCGAAGTAGAAATGTATTTAAATACCATCCCAAGCACCGTAACGAAAGAAACCCCAGAATATATAATGAAAGGGATAATGCCGATAAGGCCATGGGAAGATATAAAACAAAAGGAATACACACAGATAATGGAAGATGTGCAAAGGAGATTGCGGAGAGCAAACGAAAAATATATCCAGAGACAAGATCAAAATAGGAAAAGAAGACCAGTTACTTTCCAAAAAGGTGAGAAGGTTATGGTGAGAGCATTGCGAGTGTCCAACATCCCTGGCAATGTATGCGCAAAGTTAATGCCTGTTTTTGAGGGTCCTTACGTAATAAACAATGATAATGGTATAAATAGTTATGTTTTGAAGCATTTGGATTCAGACAAGATTAGGGGAATATATAATATCAACGATGTTTATAAATATTATGAATAAGAGACAAAGAATGTTTGCATAAGAGAAAAATCCCTACATAATTCAGTAATTTTTATCATATGCAAAGGCGGGGATTTATTATACTTCTTCTTCCACAAACGCGGAAGGAACAAAAATAATTAAGGAATCCATCGGAAGTAAGTTTTTAAGAAATCTGAAGACAAAATATGTATTAATTTTAAGATAGAAAGTTTGTATATTTGTAAATAGATAGATTAGTACCGAAATTTTATGACTTATAAAGAACTAAGCCATTCTAAACGAGTTATTGACAAACCATTTGTACATTATAGAAAATAAGCTGTTACCTGAAGGATTAGTCCGGTATTGTGTTGTATAAATCTTCTATTATGACTAAGGCAAAAATCTTTGAAATGTATAAAAATTATTTGTTTACAAGGAAATGACCATTGTTAAAAGATTAAAGTTCCTTGCTTGAAAACGGTAATTAGCATTCCAACAAGTGTGGTAAACAAATTTGGATTTTGTGATGAGACGATCTTTTTGGAAGGGGAAATCGACAGACCGAGGGTTGATAGAGTTTTTGTTGGTTCGAGAAGACAGTGATGTTTGAGTGATCGAAAAGAAAGGTTGCGTCTCGACAGGCGGTGTGTTCGTGAGTTGGAGGCCGGCATTGTTAAGTGGATAAAGTTACCAGTCTTGTTAGCAGAATTGTGGAAGAAGTAGATTGCAAGTCGATGTAAAGAAATCCTTGAATCTAAAGTGTGCAGTTTCTGGAATACGTGTTAAATAGTTGTGGCACCAGGTGAGAAAAGAGATCCTTGGGTCACGAAGAAGTTATATGAATGTTTGAAGAAGTGATTTTCGTGTGTTAAGTGTTGGAGAATTGAGTCAGGAGGTTAAATTAAGTCAGTTAAATTGGCTGAAGGAGCAGATACTGAAACAAGAAGCCGAGGCGCAAGGTGGAAGAACACATTGCTGTGGAAGGTGGACAATTCTTTGTGTGGTCCTAAAACAATCCAGGGAAGAAAGGTCAGATATTTTCCTTTTTCAAGTTGAAAGGTGTGTAAATCTTAAATGCGATTTGTTTACCTCATTGTTGTTACCAGTTTAAAGCATGATTAGACCTTTTTACATTTATCAAATGTTTTAAAGTTTTGTTTCCATAATAAAATAGATTTTTTAAATATAAGGAAGATAAAAGTTTATAAAGGTATCCAAATTTAAATTAGTTTCAAATTGTTTTGTCTCAAGAAGAAAATAAGAATTAAAATTTTCTTTTTGTATTAATTTCATTACATGCATATTCGCTGATTGAAAAGATAACGGCAAATTTAATAATTGTTTTTTTTTTTTTTATAAAATAAAAAATATCTGTATTTTATGTATTATACTTTTTATTATTATCCTTTGTTTTTCCTATCCCGATAAATACAACTAGAAAACTTTGAACTCACTGAACATAAGAAATATCAGAAGTTTATTTTTTAGGACATTGATAACGAGAAAGTATATTTTTGTGATTGTTTCAAGTAAATAAATTAAAATCAAAAATACAAAATCATAACAATATATATAAAGATTCGACTCGGAATCTAATTGAGAACATACAGAGACTCATCGAACATCGAAATGGAATTTGTATTACCTCAAAACAGGCTAATTTAATGATTGCCTAATTGGAACATGGCACAATCTTTACTAAAACGTTCATAATTATGCGTGGAATTAAGAAATATTTGCATTAAAGGCATAAAAAATAAGTTAAGTAATTATTTAACGGAATTTATTAAATTTTACTGAAAAGCCGTAATTGTAATTGATTTATTTATGACAGCTTTTGGACTAAACGACATATGCGATGAATGCTGTTTACTTCATTCATCAAATGTCATTATCTGAAAGATTTTTAATAAAATAATCAAACTGTGTGCACTTAAATGTGTCAATAGTATAAACAATATGTTTGTGCGACTCTGCTGGTCTAATAGAATAGTCCAAAAAATCGAAATGAACGCACGAAGAAAGAAAACAATTAAAGTCCATTCATAAACGTTTTCAGTGACAGTGAGTGATAAGTTGTATGACGAAAAAGTAAGTAAAAAACAGTACTTCAAAAATGTTGTAAAAGTTTTAATAGTTACGACTTTAGTTACCTCCCCTATTTTACTTGCTTTTCTTGGAACAGTTGCGGGGAAAATCATTACAATATGATGCTTGTCATCAAATATATTCAAAAATAATTTTCAACTTCTGAAACGCAACCATCGAATCCTATTCTCGAAAATACTGATGACTTTATAGAAATAGTTACCTGCCCAAAAAAAAGGACATTAATACATGTGAAAAGGAAGAAAGAGAAACACATGACCTTTGCACTGAAAAAGTAGCTTACAAAAGACTAAACTAAATTTGGCAACGTTTACAAATTTATATTAACACGTAACAATGAGCTAAGCAAGGAAACTATTTTTAAAAATTAATAAATACACGCTAAAAATGAAATAACCTCCATAATAAGCTGAATAAAAAATACAAATAGATTTGTTTACAAGTATTATTAGAAAAATTAAACCGTAAAGAGTGATTTGAGAAGTTAAACAAAATGGAATAAATTTGGTTAAACTTCTGCCAATGTTGCGAAACAGTTACAATGTATGAGAATGTGAACAGGGCATTGATATGCCAGGCTTTTTACCCCGTCGGGAGCAAAAGGTGATTTTATCTCTTTTTATGTTCGGCCAATATATTTTTCTTTACAGGATGATAGTGTTTTCATTGAGACAATAACTAGATTGTCGCCGAAAGAGGTTTATTTAGTTGTCCATGATCTTTATCACATCGATAACTCGAGGAAGTTGTGTAGCAATGCCTTCAATAATTAATTAGTGAGAAATGTTATGAAATATACGGTCTAAATGTCTGACAAATGAAAAACAAGTACAATTTTAATGTTCAATGCAAACGACAGCAAAGATCCGTCAAAGTATCGTTCTAGGTAATAAATTGATTGGTTACACAGATTAACTGAACTCAACCTTCTCATTCTCAGATAAAAAAAGGCTTACGATTAAGAAGGTAATGTGGAGAGTGATGTGATGTTTGTAAAGTGAGTAAGATTGTGAGATATATGATATATTATTTATATTATAGGTATCGTAAAGTAAACGTAGTCATTTTTCGACGACAGCCTTCAATTAGTGAATAAATTTGGGCGTATCGACCAATTTTGCTGGTGAACGGTTTCTGAGATAATAAAAAAACCACTTGCTTTAATGACATAAAATGATGATGAATTGAGCAAACTTCGAGTTAAACTTTCTCGCTAATACGCAATAATAGATTGAGGAAGAGAGAGAGAGAGAGTTTTTGATATAGCATATAAATATTCTGAGCGCAGGATCGGTTATCCTTTTTATACTCTTCTCACATTTGCTTACTCCGGATAAGCGCAACTACAGGGGTGTGCAGTACACAGTAAGCGCAATCCAAGGAGTTTGTGTCGTTTCGAGGCCGTCGACGAAACATGTATCCACTGAGACCTAAGAAGAGACTAAACAGTGGACTTCATCCGGCGAACGTGCTCCGAAGAAGGCGAAGACTGTCCTATCCGCTGGAAAGGTAATGGGTACCATTTTCTGTGGTTCGTAAGGTTTGATACACATCGACTATCTGAATCACCGGGCGGCTCCCCTATGCCGAATTATTGGACCGATTCGTCATCAAGTTGCAGAAAAATCGGCCCAATTTGGCGAAGAAAAAAAGTTCTATTTCACCATGACACACACCTCCGCCGTCGCCATAGCCAAATTGGGGGAATTGGGATACAACTGCTGTCACATCCACCGTATACTCCAGATTTGGCTCCGTGCCACTTATTGTTTCTAAACTTGAAAAAGTGACTCAGCCACTTACGAATGCCCTACCAACTTTACTGAAAAAAATATTATATATCAGCTCCAATATTGAAAGCAATTTAATGTACCATAGAAAACATGAGTTCTACAGAGTCAACTGATGATCAGAGCATTGAACATATAACTTATTTTCCATATATTAAAGACATTATACCAAGACTTTCTAGATTTTTTAAACCTGTTATTAATGTAAAAATTGCTAATAGATCTACCTCTACTCCAGTGCCTTCAGTGTTGTGTACATCATCCCTTGTGTAGATTGCAATGGGATATATATTGGACAAACTTTCTGTAGAATAAAAGATCAAATTGCTTCACATAGGAGTGACTATGTGCTATAACCGGAGCGGTTTACCTTAGCTGATCATGTAGTAAAGAACAACCACCACTGTTACTTTTTTTAGCCAACATAAATTATTACAATGAGTATGAATAAATTGATACAATGCTTCCTTTTTAAAAAGCCCTGGTTTTCAAATTAAAAAAAAAAACTTTCAAATGAATTCCCATTTCATTAAATGTTGTATTAAATTAAGCCATTGCGTCCGCATACTTATTCTTACAAATAAATTACGACTTAATAAATAAAGACTTTTTGATTGGCAGTATGATATTCAAAATTGACAATGATGCTCCGCATCATCGTCCTAAAGTAATTTCATTCTTAGCGTTAAAACTCTATAACTCTGTCTTAAAACTACATCCCGAAAACAACATGTAAATTCTTTGGATACGGAGCTACATTAATCGCAACTATCCCAGTCGAGTTCTTCCTGATATCACAGAGCCTTCCTATGGTATTCAGGAGAAGCATTCCCGTAATCTTGAAGGCTAAACAACTGTGCACTGTTCTTTACTAAATATTTCAAGAAGTCTTGTACGTTTTGTAGCAGTAATTGTATGCTTCGTTCATCTAATGGCGTGTACGCTAGCATGGCACCTAGTTTGACGAATAGACGCAGAAGATGGATTGCTCCGTAAATGTCTGACATCGGCTTATCGGGGTAATTCTGGAGGATTTCGGCGTATTGTGGTCTTTCGAATTTGTAAAGGAGTTGAGTGCCTAACATGACGTTGAAGTATTCTTTTATACCTAGAAATAATTTTAAAAAATACAATTATTATTAGAAAAATTAAATATTTTAGTTATGCAGTTGATAAAGTCTAAGCTAAAACTACGGTTTCGAGTTAAAAATGTTAGTATCTTTTAATTTCCAGATACTGAATCATTCAAATATCGTTAAAAAAGCAATTAAAGAAACCTGTCCCAAAATAAAATCGAATAACAATAAATTAAACTGAACCACCTAAGAAGCTATCGAGGAAAGAAAAAACCTAAGAAAAACAAATCAATATAGCGAAACAAAAGAATAAGAAAAACGATAAATATTGTATGAGGCCAAAGCACTGAACTAATAACAACGGTCATATAACAAGTCAATAAAAATGCGAAGATATTAAAAACAAGGAATTATTTAAAAATGAATCTCTATTTCCCTATTTCATGGCATTGAGAACGACTTTACCGATTTCATTCATCTTTTTTTAATTTTCTAATACTGTGTACATGGTAAGATCTTAAGGAATGAAATTTTAGGAAAATTGGAGAGAAAATTGAAAAATTTTAAAAAACTAATTCAAATATCGTACTGGATAGTGGATAGTGCATCGTGAGTATCCCCGCCGGTCATGTGGGGGACTGGAGTTCGATTCCATGCCGGGGAGATTTTTTTTGTTTTTAAAATTCATTAACTTTCTATCTTTTATTATTGTAAATCTTATAAATGATTAAACAATCAATCAAGTCAGGATGAAATAAAACATGATAAAATTGGAAGGAAAATAGTTAAATACAACAATTTAATTTTCGCATACAAACAGTAATATACTCCTTTGGATTGACGTCACTAAAACCGTTGCTATCTTAGCGTCTATTTCCTTTAATACATGTGTCCTGTTTCGGGTTGAGGTTAATTTGTTAATATAAACAAACTTTATCAAGATAGATTTTGCTAATATACCACATACAGTGGTAAAGACTGGGATCGCACTGTGCTCACAGACCAAACTGTAGCACATAATATACCAGATCTCGTGCTAATTAATAAACTAACGAGACAAACAATACTAATCGATGTGGTGATACCTAACAACAATAATCTGCGTGTGAAGTACAACGAAAAGATCGTTAAGTACAGATATCTGGAAATACAAATAAGGAGACAATGGAGAATGGAAAGCACTCAGATGATACCTATTATTCTTTCTACCACTGAAGTCATTCCGAAGAACCTCATTGAAAACATAAAAAAGTTGAGTCTAAATGAACATCTGTATAAGATCATCCACAAAGCTGTGCTACTTTCGACGTCCAGATGCGTGCAAAAATTTTTGGGAGATACACCGACGTACCAAGTCACCTAGGCCTCGATAACATGGAAAGAGTCCCACCAGAGCTCAATCCTTTTGATACCGTAGGTATCTGGGATGAGTGGATTTTCCCCTTAGAGGGAGTGTGAGCCATATGGCTAAATCTGTTAATAATATTAATAAAAAGCGTGGCTACAAATCATTTTACAGTGAAAAATACTGGGCAGATGAAGAATAGGCCAATGACTATATCCTAGCTAAACAATTTGAGACAATGGTATAATTGTAACTCTGCTGAGATGTTTAAAGCAGCAGTATCGAAGGTGAAGAAAGCCGTAATGATATCCTATATCCTAGCCTTCTTAAAGGAGACGACACATAAAGAAGAAGAGCAGTTGCAAAAAATGGAAATTAAGGAAGAGAAAATTAAGGTAATGTTAATGGAAATAAAGCAAGGGAAACAAAATCAAACAGCAGATATTACAAGAACAATAAGAATGACCTGGGTAACAGTAGGTAAAGCAAGCTTTATTATAAAAGACTCAAAAATCCCAATTAATTAAATTTAAATGGAGACCATACACTTACTAACCAATCTCTCAATAGACATCGTATTCAATAGACCTTGAATTCTCAATTATGTTTCGTAATTTGTTTCCATCTTTCTGTCTTCTACAACTCTGAAACAATGATTGAGTGGGGCTCTTTTGTGATTCTTTTGAATCCCCTTAATCCCTTCAATCTCAGCTCCTCCAGATTATCTCTATGGACCACATGACCAAAGTAAGCGGTGTTTTTTTCGGTAAATTTTTTTTAACGTGCAGCTGTTTAAGGATCGACACGTTGGTTCTTCTAGCAAAGCATTTCGAACGCGTCTATAGTGCATTTATCAACTTCCTTGAAGGACCAACACTCCAACTCATACAAAAAATGGAAAAGACCATTGTTTTCACAATCTTCATCTTTGTTGTATAGACATGTTGTGAATTTTATAAACTTGGAACAACGTAAAGAGGGCTATTGATATAAACACTGTACATGTAATTTTAAGAGATCATGAAAGAAACGAAGAGTGGACCAGAAGAATCTGTTACAGAAAGATAAGATATCTAAGTTCACACAAAAATTATTATGTAATCTTCTTTCAACCTAAAATCTTCAGCTTCCTCTTCGACACGGAAAAATAATGAAAGAAACAGACAACAACAAAATCAAAGAAACATCTCTTATCTTACCAAATGATGAAAAATGTGTAGCAGGCACATCAATAATTTTAGCAGGACCTGGTGACCAATACTAAAACAAGCAATAAGAATACACTAACACTAACAAATTGACAGCAGGTGAGAGACAATCATCTATAATCAATTATCACACAAAACAGAAAGTTCAGAACAGTCAGAAACGTCAACACAATTTACATAAAACATGGTTTAATTCCATATAAGATAATATGTCAAAATAAAAATATTTTTTAAAACTAAAGTTGTTGAATCTCTCATTAAAGATAGTAAATAGATTTATTGAATTATTGTATTTATTACATAAACGCAAATCTATAAATTTTTATACCTACAGTAGAAGCCACAGTTAGAATGCAGTGTTGGTTTTACGGTGCGTAGCGATGCCTCTCATGTCGGCACAGTGGTAGGTGTGTGGTAGTTTGGCGATAGACTGACATATCAGGACCGTACGCGCTTCATTTCAAAAATCTTGTACGTACGGTACTAAAAAAACAAATGAGCATTATATCTGAGATATTTCTCTTTAATTAATACTAATCGCAATCCATATCTAAATCGTCCCCATCCTCTTAATCATCTCATATATTATTGCCGATTCAATATCTTCCTGCAAATTTTACACCGCAAACATTTTTTCTTCTATTCTCTTGACGTGATTCACATAATTATGCCACTGCTCTTTAGATACGCGTTGGTAAGGTTCTTTTATCAACCGTTCTACCGATTTTTCTTTAAAATTTTTTATTTTAAATCCTTTATAAAAGGTATGTAATACCCAAACGGGTATCACGATTACATTACAGAACGTTTTCGGAATGTTAATTCCATCATCAGTGTAAACGGGGTATACATGCTATGAGCCACCAAAATATATGGGTCAAAACCCGTTAAATGTTATAAATTTATAGTTGTTTTACATTATATATAATTACAAATTAGGATGTTTAAGTTACCGTTGGAATTGGTAACATGGCGACGTATGACCCTACATAGGTTATATGGTCCTGAGACGAAGTGTCTTCGAGGACCTGTTGATAACAACTGAATGGTATACAGCCAGCTACAGGAACTTAGTTTCCTAGTGGATTTTTCTTTAAAATCGACGTTGTTTGAAGCCACAATACCATTTCACTTGACTCCACACTATCTCAATCGGGTTCACCTCGCAATGGTAAGACGACAGTCTCAAAATCTTAACGCCATATTTTTCCGCAATTGTTCCAATTTTGTACTTGTCGTACTCGTCCCTAAATGCGGCCGCAGTATCCAGTAATTCACTTTTTAGGTAATCTTCCTCGAAGTAAATGTTCTTTACGATTAGCTAGTCCTTGATTTGACTTTTGTTATACAATTTTTTCGGAAAATCAAATTTTCGGGAGTGGTATGACGCGAGTTATAGTACAATGACCGCTACCATCCAGTAAATTCTACCACGTGGATTCCACACGGGACTACCGCTCGATCATTCTGGACTGAATTGCGACGTATTGGACTGCAAGATCAGCAATTATAAAATTATAAAAACACCATGTAAAAATCAATATTTTCAGTCTGATTTGTAGTTTAGTCTGATTTATAATTTAGTCTGATTTAATTTATTGTTGTTGCTACTAAAATCTTTGTAAGTCGAAAATAAAAGTTTTATTTGTGAAGTTCAGTTTTTAAAAAAGTGTTTTTCCCAAGAACATTCATAATTGGCGCAGAGTCAGTACGGAAGTGGAAGAGTCTTTATAGATCCTCGTCACTTTTAAGTGTTTGTCCACTGTTCCAAGAACCAGCCCCAGGGAAACCGTCTGCAGAGTTCACCCGAGGGAATTAGAAGTTAGAAGCCTTCAGGAGGAAAGAAATGCACATCGGCATCGTCTTTATCCTGTAAGCGATTTTTATTATTAATTAGAATTAAGAAGATTAAATTTTGAAAGAATTTTTATAAAATCAGACTCCTCTGAGTCCTTAGATTGAATCAGAGTTAGATTAGAAGATAAATTAAACAAAGATTTGAATATATTAACAGAAAGATTAAAATAATTTAAAAATATCTCCTCTAAGTCCTTAGATTGACTTTAGAGCCAGATTCAGAAACTTTAAAATTTAAAGACAAATTTGAATAGCTTAATAAATACTATATTAATAAACATAAGATTATCAGATAGAAAATAAGTAGATTAAGATTGATATATTTATATATATTCACTATTGAAAATTACTATACTGATTTGACTATTGACTATATATTATATTGAAAATTTTAAAATATGGCAGTTCCACAATTTGACGTTAAAAATTTATGCATTCTTCCAAATTTTGACGGAAATCCAAATGAATTACATGAATTTATCAAAGTTTCTACAATACTTCTAAACCATTATTATGATAGACTTAATGCAGCGAACATCCAAAACAAATTTTTGCTTCATGGTATTATGAGTAAATTAACAGGTAGAGCAAAAGAAGTTATATCTGTATATGGATGTGAAAG